GTTAATCGAAGACTTTGCAATTTAAAGTGGCAGTCTATTACAGGGATGAGCAAAATATGGCCTGCAGGCCAGATGCAGCATGCCACTTGATTTGTATCTGGCCTGTGGCTGCCCCCACAGTGCTGTGTATGAAGCTGAGACCCACCAGCTCCAGCCCAAGGCAGCCCACACCATGCTGCCACCTCTCACCTACTAATGGCACTGCACCAGCAACAGCCCTGGCCAGTGTACACAGCTTCCTGGCACTGCTGTTGCCACTGCTGCTCCAACTGCATGAATACTGCTCCAGTTCCCCTGCCTCCAGTGGTTTCTCCTCCTTCTCCTGCCCCTGCTGCACTGCTCTAGGCAGCAGGTAGCACAGGGAAGCAACAGTGACCATGCGGATGCATGCCAGGCACCACACATCCAGTCAGGCAGTGGGGAAGCTACAGCTGGGCAGCTTCTGCCTCAGCATGTGGGGCTCTCCAACTCTAGCACCTGGCTGCCTTGGCTCCCTTTGGCTGCCTGGCACAATGAACAGTCATCTGGGTTGAAGGCAGTCAGGAACTGGAGCCCCACAAACTGGGGCAGGAGCTGCCTGGCATGGGATGGGTGCAGGCAGGAGTGCAGCAGGGGCTGCCCCAGGCAGGAGTGGGTGGGGTTCATTCCCATGCAGAGCACCATGGGGGCAGCTGTGGGCTGACCACACCTCCCAGTCAAGCTCTGCTGCATGTGTCCCCTGGTCTCCCTACCCTGCCCATGGCTAGCTCCTGGAACCTAGTGCATGAGCGCCCCCCCCCACAACTTTATTTTGAGCTATTATTTAATCACCTCTATATGCATTACTCAAAACCACATAAATCAGGATAAAAATATATTTTGAAATAAAATTTAAATATGTTATATTAAATGTATTGATTTAAAAAAAATCACATACTAAAAATCAAAATTTGTTAAAATGATACCTTCTGAAAGAAGGTGGGTGTGTGAAGCCCTTGACAGCTCATCAAAACTTAAGTGACCCATCCCCTGAAATAGTGCCCCCTCCCAGTCTATTACTACCTTTTGTTGAGCCCGTGATTTCCCTTTCAAGTGTTGCAACAAACACTATTATATATTAGGCACAATGTTTGTGCCTAATATACAAAAGTTACATTTATTTCCACCCTGAGATACGAATCTCCACTCTGCTTGGTAATTTTGGAACTTGCATATCACACTTTGCAAGAAAGTGTTCTAAAATCAGACCACTCTGGATAGAGGTGCTTTTAACTGCTCTTGATGCTTTTACCATGGCTAGAATAATTAAATATTAATTTGGTCAGAGAGAGAGAGTACGTATATCACCATACCTAGTGGTGAGAGCACTCACCTGGGAGGGGAATATCTTGGTTTTAGATCAACATTCATTAAACTGTTGAATAATAGGGAGCACTGTTCCTCTCTTCTTACTTCTCAGTGGGCACATCTACACATGTTGTTAATGTTCTGTAAGCTTACCATAAAATACTGCACAATACGCTTTCCCCAGCCTGGTGTCTACACGTGCACCTGTCAGAAGCAAATTTGCTCCTGAGGGGAGCACTTCAGTGTAGAGCTACTTCAGCCCTGCTGTGCCCCTCTACAACATCCAGGGGGAGTTCCAGGTTGCACTGGTACCAGCCCCAGGCTGGCAGGGGCACCAGAATCAGGCCTTGGTGTCCAGGGAGTGGGAAAAGCTGTTCTGCCTCTAGGGCAGCTGCCTCCCAGCCACATGCCCCAATCCATAGATTGGGGCATGAGCCTGGGAAGCAGTAGGTAGGGGAAGGAACATTTTTGCTGCCTCCTGCTGTCTGGGCTGACTAGAAGTAATTTGCTCCCTGTGAATAGTCGTCAACTGTGCTACTGCACAGTAGTTGCTGTGCAGTCAATCTACTACCTGTATTTATAGGTAGTAGACAACTGTGCAATAGACTAATCTACTGCACAGTAAATGCTGTGCACATGTAGATAATGACACTTTACTGTTCAGTAAATATAGTCTGCTGTACACTAAAGCATCTTGTGTAGACATGCCCTGCAGGGACTAAATTGCTGGTTGTGCTTGGAGGACACCTATAACTACTTGGACCCTACAGGATGCACTAGTTTGTGGCAATGTGAAGCTTCCTGTGGAGCCCTGTTCTGCCCTGCACCACCAGGTTGCACCGAGTGGGCTGCGGAGGCCCCAGGGGAGGGCAGCAGAATGGGAGCCCAAGCCTGCAGTGAGTAGCCCATGCCTGCCCCATGCGCAAATCTGGGGGGCATGGGTCCCTCCTGCACCCCAGGAGTGTACACAGCGGTGGGGAGCCAGGCCATTGCTGTTGTCTGGACAAACTGCTTACAGCTCCATCTCGCTCCTTGCTGGGGCCCTGTAGCCACACATTGTGGCTCTGGGCCCCAAGCCGCATGCACCACCCAGCTGGGCAGCAGCCCCAGCCTGGCCCAACTCCCTCCCTATGGGGATTTCAGTTCCCCCACACTCACCTATGGGAGCTGCTTTCCAGGCTGCCTGGTGGCCATAGGCAAATAGATGCACATGGCACCCCCTACTTGACTGCCCTCCTCTCACTCCCTCCCAGCCCCCTGCAGGCTGGAACTCTGACAGCCTGCAGAAAGCTCTTTGCAGGTTTCTCTGCTAAAATGGGAAATCTGTGTTTTTCCTGCAGTAAAGGGGGAAATCTATAGTTTTCTCCATTTCTCTGTAGGAAGGAGAAAACCTGAATCCCTGCTGATCACCCCTTGTTTTGCACCATCAAGAACAAGACAAAGGGTTTTGCCCAGTACAGTGGATTAATAGTGCCATGATATATCACAGCATGGCTGATCCACTTCTTTTTGGCATCGTCTATTTTCTAGCCTCAGCCTCCTACTAAAGGACTGTTGGATAGTAGTATTAGTACCATCCCCTTCACTTGTGTTTGAGCAAGGGCAGGTGTAAGGATCCAATTCCAGGACAGAGTTCCTGGTGGTTAATCCCAAATACAGAAGCATGCTTCCTTGAAACCTGGAACTAGGTATCTCATTTTAAAGGGTGTGGCTTAAACCACAGGCCTGCTTTTAGCATTTGTATTTTTATTAGTTTTAGGTAAGCCCCTGCTCTCTACACTTTTTTTTGCAGATTTCACTCTTATCCATCTAACTCAGTGCACTTGCATGATAAATCCAGGTGCCCTTCTTGGGATTTTGGGTTTCAATTGGTGTCAAGGTACCTAAAAGTTTGGTTTGGCTACCCTGAATATCATACCTTAGTCTTTTGTTAGATATTGTCTGTACTTCCCCTATGTCCTCTTCTACTTCCTGTCTCCTTTTTTTTCCCCCCAACTAGAGTTACAAATTAGTTCCATTCAAAGGCAATGCCCAATGTAATAGTCTGAAATGAACAGCCACCTGATATACCCAGGTGATTTTATATATATATATTGAAGTCAGTGGAGCTATGTCAGTTTTGGTGTCCCCTGATTACCTAGTCCTGAATGTTTCTAGCTATTTCATATACAATGTGTGATTTTGTTTGTTTGTTTTTTCTTAGCATGCAAGATAGCACTACATCCTGTAATAGGCTAAGTGTGTGGACAAACAGGCCTTGCCAGGGTTTTTTAATTCTCTTTCTGCCCTTATTAAATGAGTTTTAGTATAAATAGTCACATTTTCTGGCAACTGGGAAAGCAGCAGTTATTTCAAAAAGATGGATATGACTTTACAGTGTGTCTATTTTTCATTTTTCCCCATGGGACATCTTGATCTCTCCTTGTGCTGAAGTGACAGCTTTCAGGTGATGTGGACAAGAGGCAAGCCAAGTAATCAGCCCTCAGGGGTAAGTATTGTCTCCAGCTGGGCAGTCCTCCAGGAAGACTTTTAGCAAATAAATCAGTCACAAAGTCTTGTTTCTATAAGCAAGTGCTTTAGCTGCAGTTGATAACTTTGAAGGATCCATTGTATGCAGCTGTGTGTGTGTTTCTTCTTCTTCTGTTTAGATATATGATTATAGGGACTGAAAATTTAAACCTTTGAGGGACCAAGTGCATTTCTTTCAAAATATAACTTAGTTGTTAATTAGGATGATGAAATTAGACAGTGCAACAGTGAAATGATAAAGGTAAAGAGAATTGGTATAAAAGGAATTGTAGATAGTACTTCAACCAGCAAATAGCTGGCTGGCCAATTTAAAAGAAATTATAGTATCTCAAAAACTTTCTTTTCTGTAACTAAATACTGTAAAATGACATCTTGGACCAACTTGTTGGTCCAAGATTTGAACCATAAGCTTTGTTTCAGAGGGAGCAACACACAGCCTTAAAAACAGTTTAAATTTTTTCTTTGGCCCACAATGTTTAAAATATACACATTAATTTGTGATAACACAGTTACCTCCTATATGTCCAGGACCTTGGCTCCATGTGCTCACAGCACCTGTGAAAGTAGAACTTCAAAACGGGTTGTTCCGTGAAATAACCAAGTCATTCCTCTCCTGCTGTTTGCGAAGTATACCTGATGTCACTTTGTCTGCATATGGTGTTCCTTGGTCTCTAAAGTGAATATATGGCACTTTAGATGGAATAAATCATATCTGAGTTTTTTCTCAATGCATTGTTCATATAATTTTGTACCCCTCTTTAATATAGCTGATTCAAACAAAAGAAAACCAATATCTGAGGGCTTTCCAATTAAGAGAATTCAACAAGGGACGCTCTGCAGATTTGTGTGCCCTCTCTAGAGATTTTTGGATCAAACTAGCAAACAAGTTGTAAAAAATGTGACAGACCACATTGTTGATTTCTTTTAATCTTTTTCTTAAGATAACACAACAGAATGAACAGTACTCGTACAAAACAGGAGTATGCGGCAATACTAAGTTTTATGCTCTCTCTCTTCCCCCATGTCATGCATATTTTGATTGATAGTAACCATTAAATAGCCCAGAGTTGACATACTGTTCTTCCCTTTCTGATGGAAATCAAGGAAACTGAGTTCTGAATACAACAATTTTCTTTTTGATCATGCAAGAGCATCACTAGACTCTGTTGGACATTAGAAACTAAACCCCCACTATTTTCATGGGTTAAGTGTGTGGAAACAGAGGTGAGAAATGTTTTGGTTACAGCAGGCAGTAGAATCATTTCATATAACCTAAAACAAATCAATACATAGCATCTTATTAATAAGACTCTTCAAAATGGAGCCATTGTGAACATGACTAAATTCAATCATGACAGAATACAGGGAGGCCACTGAATTCTGCAAAATAGATTTTTTGGCTGATGTGGTAACAGCTCATCATTTGCCTTTTGTTAAATAACTCTGTATACTCTGTTGGTTTCTGAGAACAAAAACTTATTTCATGCAGCTAAGTAACAAAACAAAATCTATTATTACATTGGTTTCTGTTCCCACCCCCACAGAATAACCAGCTCTTGTGTTTGCAAGCTGTGCTTTAAAAATGTACAGATTCAGCTTTGGAGTGCTCATCCTTCTAGGTCGACTGCAGAAAAAAATTATACATCTGCCTTACTTTGCCAGGTCACTTAATAGCTGGAAACATAAATTACACACAAACCAGTATAATGATTGGAAATGGGCTCAAATCTGTAACACAACAGAAGTTCAGTACACACAAACATCTTGCAAAATGGCTGAACCAGTTGATGTAGTATCAAATTTAACTGATTTAGGTTAAATCAGTTTATTGAAATTCTGTCTCAGATGCCCTCCAGAGTCAAGTAAACTCAGTCCCCCAGCATCCCAGGATGCTTTGCACTTCCCCTGCAATTCCCACCTCACAGGGTGGGTGGGCTAGTTTTGGCCCAAGCTGTTTGTTTTAGTGAGCAGGGAGGCATGCTTTAGTACCCCCCATCTTCTGGCCTTGGCCACTGTAGGCATGTGGCTGCATTTCCAGAATAAAAAGTGAATGTCCATTCACTTGCTTACCAGTTCAAACTATGCAGTTTAGACTAATCTGTGAAAATTGAATCAATTCAGCCTCAGGCTTTTTTTGACTGTCTGTACTTAGCCAATGTGTCTGTTTCATTCTGACACAGTTTAAATTTGGTATGAAACTTTTCCCTCTGAATTTAACAGTAGACAATAATTATTTTTTTAGTTAAAAAATGACATTGCATTTCACCAGTAACTTTCTTGGAATCACAAATTTTACAGTCCTCCATGTAATCTCACTGGGGATTCATTAAAAGCAGAAAGTAAGTCTTTCTCTTTTTCAACATGGAAAAGAAAATGATTAGCTTGCAATGACAGTTGAAAACTTTTGACAAAGCTGGATTAAATAATTGCAAATAGGCAGCAAGAGCTCTTGCTCATGAAAACTCATGCATTTCTGATTCAGTTGGTCTGTAAGGTGCATCTCTACCCTGCACTCTGCAGTTATTGTGAGTTCTAGTGTTGACTACTTTGGGTGAAGAAGTAGATCCTATCTCTGTAGACATCTATCCAGTACAATAGCTTAAAAAACCACTAGATTCTCTTGTCCAGCACAAGAATGTGGTAGCCTTTGCAGTTCCAGGGCTGGTTCATAAATCAAGGAAAGAAACTTGCAAAGGAAACGTTACAAATATTTTCCACAACCAGAGAAATCCTCTATGGAGGAGAAAGCTTTTTAGAATCCATTGAGTTCATAGTTTCTTTGATCTGTTCAAGTAATGTAAAGCAATAGACAGTTCCGATGAAGTGGGACCCACTGGCCAATGTGAACTAACATAAAATCTTCTGTCTCCAATATACACACCAGCCTTAAAATAAAGTTTTAGCCAAATGTCTGAAACTTTTACCTATCCTTCAAGGTTAATCAGCTGTAACTAGAGGAGATCCAGTTCCTAGGAGATCATAACTACAGACTGTAGCACACACTACTTCTCTATCTCAATTATGAGGATCCCTTAATGAGAAAGAATAGCTTTAGAAGGCATCCAAGATGCACCTCATGTAGTGCTGGGGTGGGATTTCATAGTCTTGGACTAATTTTGCTCTCACTGAAGTCCATGAATTTCTTACCATTGGCCTCAACTTCAACGAGAACAGATTTAAATAAATATTAGGCCCTTCCATAGGGGTGGTATTTTCAGACCAAAGTCAACATTTGCCGTAATTATACTTGGCAAATGAATCCAGTGCAAGTGAAGTTGCATTAACTTTCAGGTGGCCTTAAAAGATAATCCTATGTAAAGTTTATGAAGTTATACTAAAAGTACCTGGAAGTTAGAAAGGCATAGATAAAGAAGTGAGATCAAAGAAAAATTATACAGAGTATAATTTTGCCTCTTAAAAAAAGTTCTACATATAAGGAAATAACTGCGGTATGTCAGATAACACCAGGAGGTAATAATTAATGGTAAATGCTGCTGTTGTCTTAGTGCCAATGACTGTACAGGCATACCTCGTTTTATTGCGCTTCACTTTATTGCGCTTCGCAGATATTATGTTTTTTACAAATTGAAGGTTTGTGGCAACCCTGCGTCAAGCAAGTCTATCGGCGCCATTTTTCCAACAGCATTTGCTCACTTCTTGTCTCTGTGTCACATTTTGGTAATTCTCGCAATATTTCAAACTTTTTCATTATTATTATATTTGTTATGGTGATCTGTGATCTTTGATGTTACTATTGTAATTGTTTTGGGGCATCACGAACCATGCCCATATAAGACGGTGAACTTAATCGATAAATGTTGTGTGTGTTCTGACTGCTCCACTGACCAGCCGTTCCCCTGTCTCTCTCCCTCTCCTCAGGTCTCCCTATTCCCTGAGACACAACAATATTGAATTTAGGCCAATTAATAACCCTACAATGGCCTCTAAGTGTTCAAGTGAAAGGAAGAGTCACACGGCTCTCACTTGTACATTGTTTTTTAAACATAATGCTATTGCACACTTAATAGACTACAATATAGTGTAAACATAACTTTTATATGCACTGGGAAACCAAAAAATTCATGTGACTCGCTTTATTGCGATATTCACTTTATTGCGGTGGTCTGGAACCGAACCCGCAATATCTCCGAGATATGCCTGTATTGCATTCTCAGCTGTAACATAAAACTACACTGAAGCACCTCTTAGAAGATATTTTTGGTCCAACCTATCCAGGAAATAATAAAGTCTTGATGAAAATCTAACTAATGACCTCACAAGGTCCTATCCAGACCTAAACTTCTGTGAATCCTGTGTAAAGCAAATACAGTCTGTAGATGCTTTCTTGCTGTAGTTTAGTCACGAGCAGATGATGTATGTTTGTGCTTAGAGCATTTATTTAGTCAACATTTAGAAATTTAAATTTCACGAAGCTGTCTGTGCAGGAGACTGAAGGATGTTATTGATTAAATACAATGAATACACATCTGTGTGCTTAGGAAGAGCCATGTTTCTGTGATGTTAACATATCACCTAGTAAATATGTTTCAACTTTTTTTTATTTTTGGCATGGGATCATAGGAGAGAGAGGCTGGAAGAGACTTATGAGGTCATCTTGTCCGGCCCTCTGCTCAAGACAGGATCATCCCTGACTCAAACCATTTCAGCCAAGTGTCGGGCTAACCTGCTCTTGAAAACTTACAAGGATGGCGAGTCCACATTTTTTCTAGGTAGTCTGCTCCAATGCTTGACCATCCTCACAGTCAGAAAATTCCTCCTATTTCCAACCTTAATTTCCCCTGCTGCAGCTTGAGGCCATCACTACTAGTCCTGTCCCCCATGGTCACAGAGAAAAGTCCATCTCCATCCTTTCTATACTCACTCTTCAAATATTTGAAGACTAGTCAAATAGTATTTGAACATCTGCCCCCCCCACTTCATTTTTTGCAGACTAAATAACCCTAGCACGTTCAGTCTTTCCTCATAAGTCATGCTTCCTAGGCCTCTAATTCTTCTGTTGGACTCTTTCCAATCCGCCCACATCTTTCTGGAAGTGTGAGGCCCAAAACTGGACACAGTACTCCAGTTGAAGCCTCACAGAGCAGAAGAATCACTTCTCTTGATTTTGCAGGTGACATTCCTGTTGGTACAATTTGGCATTGCTGTTGGCTTTTTTACAACAAGAGCACACTCTTGGCTCATACTTGTCTCCTGGTCTGATGTAACCTCCAGGTCATTCTCTGCAGTGCTGCAGCCTTATTTATATTTAAACTTTCATGTATATGTATTTTTATAATTTAGTGTAAGGAGCTAATCCTACTTCTGTGACAATCCTAGAGGACATGCATCTCTTCAGAGCTGAATTCTACAAGTGTCTTCTATAAATATCAAAGATTTGTATGATACATGTTTGCAATATAAAGTAAGACTGATGATGAAGGAAATAGGTTACTTTGACCAGTCATTTAATGGTCTTCCCAATCTGCTTACTTCTTATAAAAACATAAAATATTTCAGTTTTGTTTACCTTTTGCCCTAATACTGAGCTTGTGAAATGCTCTAGAAAGATATTAAACAGCATTCAAAACCAGCTTTTGTTTACACTTGAAATATTTTTTTATGCCTGTCAACTATTTGACAAGAATTTTTATGCATTTGAAGTACACAATGTACTTTTTGTTTAAATGGTGGGAATCGCAAATGAACTCTCTTGAGAATAAACACTTCATACTACAAAGAGAGGTTCTAAAGCTGTCTAGACCCTTTATTAGTACATTAAAACTTTCCCCACCACCAAGACCCTGTATCTTTTGATTTTTATCAGTAGAGCTGGATGAATGAGACTGGCCCCAGATACTGACTGGCCAGATACTGACTCCAAAAATATTAAGAAATAATTGCTAAGTTTTTAATTGACTTGAAATGAGACACTTCACTTAGAGGTTATTTTAATCCCTCTTGCTATTTTTACAAAATAAGTTCAGAGGTAAGATGTAAAGTGTCGTTTGCAATAGAAAGACTAAAGCATTCCATTTAGAAAACTTTCAAATAAAATATCATGCTTACAAAAACTTCCACAATTTCCCTATGAAAGTAGTCAATGTATTGCACCCAAATCTGTGCACAGATTTGGTCTGCCCAAATGTTTTAGCAAGTTCATTATTCATCAAAACACTTTTTTTCCATCTCTAATGATGACCTCCTCAGGGAATGTGAAATGTCTGTTTTTATATTTAAAATGCTTAGCATGTTGTATGTGCTATTGGAAATAACCATACATGATTTCCACTGTAACCTAGAGAAGATTCACTGCATCTCCTCTCTTTTTTTTAGGAGTACAGTAAAATGCAACTTACAGTTTATTGTGTGTTCGATCTGAAGAATGACATGAAGAACAGCAATATGAAAATAAGAAAAGTGGCTGAATCCTGCAATCCTTTTGTCTTTAGCAGAACTGCCCATGCAAGGGGTTGCAAGATCAGAACCCAAAAATATTTATCTGGTATTGAAATGGCTCTTTTATTGAAATCAGTTCAGATGCTCATACTGTAGACTCATGCAGCAAGGAAATTATTTAAATGTTTGGAAGTCAACTGCCACCAATTTCATGCAACTGAGTTCCCATTGTTTAGTTTCTCTACTTTAGTTTTGTCAACCCCCCCCCCCCAAATTCTTAAGATATTTCTCTATCACAAAGTAAAG